ATAACTTCGGTTTTATTCACCTAGGACTCGGTTCTGCTGGTTCCAGATCACTAGTCGAGTGCTTTCCCATATCCTCCATGAAGTTTTTTTCAGCAACTTCACCTTTTTCCATTTGTTGTCATTTATGATTCGGTTCTTTTCTGTTTACCCTCCATTTTCTACTTTGTGATACAGTTTAACCAGCCATCAATTCAATCGCTCGGCAACTCAGCCGAGTGAGTTTTTTACAAAAACTAATGAATCCAATCTTATGTCTGTTGTTTGATTTTTTTAATGTCAGATAATTATTTATATTTTATAAACTTGTCTATATAGAAACATTCGACTTGCTTTACGATCCACGAATTCAGTATTTAAAGTCAGTAAGAAGTTTTCGTTTAATCTCTGATGTGCAGGCACGTCAAATGTTTTGTAGAATTTTAGTAAAAATTCACTCACTTTTGTTTTTATATGAGTACTTCTCCGTTTTGTCTATCGAAATTTTCAGTTTTAAGATTAAAGCGGAAATACTTGCTTTTACCTATGGCCATTGATAATCTTGAATTAATGCACTAGGAAGTTTCTACTTCAAAATTTTTACATTACAAGCTTTAACATATTATAGAAACTAATTCAGATGCAAATGGAAGTACTAATACTTTCCACCATATGAAACAATGAGCTGGTGAACCAGGAGACATGTTGTAATGATCAGATGAGAACCTGTACTTGAATGAAAATGGCAGCATAGATTCAATTTTGAAAGAAAAAATGAAGAAGGAAGAAAAATTGATAGATTTTAGAAGCTATGTCAAATCCAGCCATGCACTCGTGGTAACAGCTAGAATAATTTAGCCCAGTAAAAGACGGGATTGGAGGAAGATTTGATCACCAATATAAATGAAAATGAGACCAAACTCCTCATGTTTGCAACGCATCTCACAGAATTTTCGTTTTATGCATTATATCTTTATGCTCTTCAGAGTACAGTACATCATGTCAGCGAAGTGAGCGAGTCTGTCATACATTCTGCTTCAATTTCTTTCTCTGCCGCACACCGTAACCAGGCCCCGCCAAAATTGGTAAGCTTTCAAACTGACTTCCATCGGGCTGAACATTTTTTTATGTGATCTGATTTGTGAGAATATTGCAGGAAAATGAGCCAGTTTTGGAAAAAACGAGAGTGGTAACTCATAAAAACAGCATTTCGCCCATAAACTACAGAGAAGTTAAGCATGTGAAATGGGAATCTTTATTTTCTGTATAAAGTTAATGCAGTGTATCCAGGACCATCACCTGTTCGCTTCACTTATACCATAAATACTTAACTTGACATAATCTAACTACCTTATTCTTCTAAGTATTAACATCCATTTGTGTGCTTCACATATTTAATTGCTATAACCGATTAATAACATGTTCAAACAAAAGCGATACAGTTATGCAATAAAGCATGTAATAGAAATCGAATTCAAATGACACAAGTTAGAAGAGTTCCTGTGTTGTTTATGTAAAAATAATTTTAAAGACTAGAACCATAGATAATAGTGCAGATAAGTTGATACCCTTAATTGCATTTCTACAACACTGGTTATGAACGCAGTTGGCCTCAGCATATCATAATTTTATTTCGAAGCATCTAAATATCTGTCGACATTATTAGCTTTCAGCGAAAATAGGGTAATTACGAGAAAATAAACTCATCGGCTATTTATGGAAAAGATATTAATTTGGCAGTTTCACACCAATTTACTCACAGATTATTGACAACGATTACTGTAATCTAAGCAAAAAATTTAATGTTAGTAGTGAAACTGCCAGAAGAGGTTATTTTACAACTGTGTCTGATATAATTCATTCCGAAATGCTAGAAATCAATTTTGTTCCAAGAGTAATTGATAAGTATTATTTTACTATTCAGGTGTAGCAAGCTCATAGTATAGTAGGTAACTGACTATAAGGGAAAAAATTATTTATTTGATAGAGCTGTCAAATGTGACAACAATTCTCTCAGCTTGTTGAACATGCAACGTACATGCACGAGTGAGCGGAAGCCATAATCCTGTTCCTTGCCGTTAACCTGAACCTCTGTGAGAAGTTGATTCTCATTTGTATCTTCATCTGTTCTGGTCGGTCAGCCAGACCAGGTCCGGTGAGAAAGTGATTAAATGTTAATGACCTAACTCTTACTACTACTACTACTACTACTATCACTGCTATCTTCTTTCTATAGCCGTTATTTTCATTACTGATCGCTTCTCTCTTCTTTTTGTGCTATTTAATAAGCCTTTTGTAATGAGACTAATCGATTCCACGAATTAAAGGCACTAACACAATGTCGTGCGAACAACCAGAAGTATTGCATTAGATGGCATAGCCTATTGCACAGATAAACATAAAGTAAATTGTGTAAAGGAAACGAGAGAGTGGAAAGTTGGAAACAGAGATGACGAGAGATGTGGAGAGTATGGTAAGTAGGCAAGATGGAGTAAGAAGCGATATGGAAGTCATCGATACTGCATAAGATTATTGTGGAGAGATGTGAGGTTAGCTGACATCAAGCATATTTTGCAATGAGTTCAGGAAAATTCAGGAGGAAAAAATGAGAAGTCGTAACAAAAAAAATACATCGTGTATGTGAAGAGATCTTGACGACGAGTGTAGAGAGAAGAGAAAACGCCATTCAGCAAGTTGATCAGGTGGTTAAACTATCTCTCTTTTCTATTCGCTCTTTTAAACAATCTATTAACACTCTGATCAGACGCAAACGCACACAGACATGCAGACATGTACGTGTGTTGTGTATATGCATATATAGAGTATGATTTTGATTATATATATATGATTACATACATATATATACTGTGAGTAAATATATTAATCTCGATGTGATTATATATCTATATATATGTTTGCTTGTTAACATTCACAAACTCACTAGAGTAGTCTAATTAATGCTGCCTGTGATATGTGTCTATGCGTCTCTGTCTGTATGTATTCTTACTGGTGTGCAATTGTGCCTGATTGTATGTACTACATTGTTGGCATTTTAGCCATCAGTCGTATGTTTGTTTGCTTAAGTGTACACGAAACATGTATGTCTGCTACTCTCTATCACGTCATAAATATGTCCTTACGTGGGCTACACTCACGGTTAGAGATGTGCAAGGCAGAGCAGGTTGCTGTATTTTTTACTGGTTACTTTGCTGGATATTGCATGCCTGCTTCTGATGCATACTGTGTCATTCAGGTACTAGCATTCTACATTCATCTACCCACGTTTTTGCTTGGTTTTCACACTGATCCCTGCTTATGTCTTACATCCTTCTTTCTGTGCTCGCATATTCATGAGAATAAAGTTCAGGTTTCTCTTACATGTTTTTAGACAAACGGCTACTTGTTTTGCAGCAGTTTGGAACTTGCTTACTTCTCACGCGATATCTATGAAAATATTTGCATGTAGCACTTTGTTTTGCTTCTAGCTTGCCCTATATGAAATAGAACTATGTTTTCATGTTTGGAATTAACACAGCAGTTAGCTGCCAAAAGATGACTGCACGCACTGTAGAACAAGTTCTGCTTTTGTTGTTTCAACAATGAATGTATTTTTTTTAAAACATTTTCAAGAAAAGACATGGTTTTGCTTCTGAGAATAGCTTATTTTACGTTCAGTAATAGCAAATGGTTTGTGAACTTTGACTGTTTCATTGAAAATCTAATTCAACATTTATAGCCGTTGGAAGCAGAAATAAAATAAGTCTTCTACATGATATTATTGAATCCTTATTAAGTAGTTATTGTATTTCCTTCATTTTGAGTTAGTTGTACAATCTTTGGATTGTAGTGAACTACTCACTACTGCAATGGACTTTCTTTTGCATCCAAAACCTTTAGTGTCTTATGAAATCTCACTGCTAAAACTGCTTACTTTTATTCACAAGTAGTATTTTCGTTCATTCTTGTTGTTAGACTTTTGTCTTGAAAGGAAAAATTTACTAGTTAACAAAGAGTATTGCATCTTATGTTTTGATTGGAATATATTTTATGGCATGTTTTCTTTACTGTTGAAGTATGTGGAGTATTGCTGTAAAATAATGGTTTTCCAAAGTATCAATTGATATATCTTGATGATATTTTATTCCACCATTGCTAAATAGATTTCTATTATTTTTGAAACTGTAAAACTCCATGATAAAACTATAAAGCCTAGTGTGTTGTATCGAATAGGAGAAAGAGAGTAATTTAATACATATCATTTTATCTCATGTACTAAATTGTTTATAACTCAGGGAGTGGACGGAAATGGAAGATGGATTGTTGTTTAGTGATATGATAGAGTATTGAAAAATGGAGCAAGAACATATTACAATATGAAACATTGAAGTGAATCAGATATTAAAGTATTTTATTTTCAATAAATCTAGTGAACAAAAACTTGACAATGTTTGTTAGTTGGCATGTAATGAGTTCATTTCTTTCAATTATCAGGCAAAAATTTTGATACTAACATTTCAGTTAATCGATTTCTCATCCCCCAAGAACATTATTAAAATTTTGGGCTTTGCGAAGCGAATTGTATTACTGTAAGATATGCTCATAAAAAATATTGTTGATTTTAGCAGATCTCAAAAATTTCAAGAAATGGAAAGACGGAAGCGAAAAACACCATTGCAGAGTTATTTCGAAAAATTGCTTCAAAGTTCAGACAAAGCGGAACGTAGCTCAACATTTTATAATAGCTTACAAAATTTTTACAAAAGAAAATGGTGAGTTGTGATTTATTTCTGTATTTATAACTTGTCAATATGTTAAATAGTGGATCTCTTTTAAAAGGTTCTGTTCGCGTTTCAACTTTGCCTATTGTGTTGGCTACCTTTTGTTGATTTTATAAGTAAAATAATGAATATTTTTTAAGAATCTCTGTAAAACAGAGCTAGACTAAACTGTGAGAACTCCTTGATCATTTTGGTTGTCTTTTGTTTCATCCGTTTGTCAGATAATCTTTTCCTATTAAATCGCTTCAAAGTATACAATATTGTTCAAACTGCTTCTGAGGTTGTTGGTAGTAATGCAAATATAACAAATCGGAATTTGAATGTTTCATATTTACAGGAATTGTCAGCTGAAATCACCACATATTCAAGGTGTTGAAGTTGATCTTTTTGAATTGTATGATGCGGTCATTTCGATGGGAGGATGGCAAAAGGTCTAGTTGATTCTCATTGTATTACTGTCATTTCACATTATGCTTTTTCTTCAGGTCGTGTTACTTTTTTGGCATCATTTTATTGTGAAGAAAGTCTGAATTTTCAAAATCTTTGCTGATGCGTTGTTGCTTACATAGATTTGTGTGATGGAAAAATTTCTTTATTTATGTGTTTTTATACTGTTGACGGCTATAGTTTTCAGACATTGTCGTTTTTTTGCAAATTATTTGGTTTGATTATTTTCTTCATATAGAACTCAAGTTCTGCTCCATCCCAAAAAAAAGTGCGAGATAGAAATACTAGAAACAGTTGAAAAGTGCATGAAGTTGCGTACTTGAAATAAAAAGTGTCATTAACCATGATAACTAGCTAGTTTATCAAAAAAGAGCTATTTTTTCCGATTTTTTAAATAGAGTTCCTTTATTTTTGCAATATTATGTTAATATTTTCCTTAAAAAAAGTAGTGGAGGCCAGGAAGTTTGAACATAGTTTTATTTTAACTGAAAACTATTCAGATTTTCGTATGGGATATGTAATAAAAACTGAAAATTTGCTGAATTTTAGGCTCTCTATGCAACTCGTAACGCATAATATAACATTGAGCATGTGGAATTCTACGCACAATAAAGTGCAAAATTTATCTCTCTTTTGCACTTGAAGATGAGCTTAGATATTTCTTTGTAGTATGGTAAAATTCATTAAAATATTTCCAGACAACATGTGTTTAATTGCAGTTTTAAATGCTTGACTTTATTTAATGAGGGCAAGAAACTTATTTATTTCACTTGTCTTTCAACGCTGAATTCAAGTTTGTTCCTGAATGTGACAAATACTGAATTTGATACTGAAAAATCATTTAGTGTTGGACTGTTTCAAATTCTCTCGTCCAAATTTTTTAGGCAAGATGGAATGTATTGTGAAATTTTAATCAGTAATTTCGTTTGACTCACTATACTAGCAAGTTCTGCAGTTACATTGATTCTGATTTCTCTGAAAGTTTTAATATATTGAAAACAATTTTCAAGTTCTCTTATTACAGGTTTCACTTAATGAAAAGTGGGGTGAGATTGCTCGAACAGTTGGTATAGACAAGAGTGTAGCAGTTTCTGGACATGCAATTAAAGTGCTTTATATGCGGTATGTATGCATGTACTCTAAACTTTATCTATAGTTTTGCGGTTATCTTAATCGTGGATTTTCCGAAGTCAATAACTTTTTGTAGCGAGAGTCATCAATCTTTGGGTTCATTTTTAGATATCTCTCGAAATATGAACAGAGTGAGCTAGTAGGTGACGTAGATGACACAGATACGGATTTGCTAAGTTCAAGAAGTCGAACCAAAGGTTTCTCATCATTGGCTACAGCTGACTGTCCAGTCAGCTTAGCGCAAAGGAAGACATCAGGTAAAATATCTATTTACCGGAATTTACTTTAGTTTGTTCATAAAAATTTTTTAATTTGTACCTGTTGTCCAATTTTTATGTGTTTAATTTTCAGCCTTCACCATGTGTTTACTTGTGGTCCTTGGTTTAGTATCATATCTGGTTATTAATGCTGATTCACTGAAAATTTAGTTTAGTTCTCATATAATAGTTATAACATAATTTCTTTTTAGAGTATTTTCGACTACGATCTGAGAAAAAAGAAGCCGAATATGATCGAATTGTTAAAAGCCTTCTTTCTGGATTACCTAATGAGGTAGTATATTTGAATATTTAACATACTAATCGTAAACATGTTCTCTGAGTTAAAATTTTCCTTACTGTGTTCCATATCAGTTATCTGGACTTTTTACTGTTTCACAATCATCATGCTCTTAGTCGCACATTTGAGGTGGATTTTGCTGTAAACGTTTGCACCTTGTTATCTCATCCTGGACCTCGAGTACTGCGACTTGTTTCTGCTCCTCAGATCATTACACTTTTAATTGCTCATGTTGCGATATTTCCTGACGGTTTGTAAATTACTACTTAGGACGTTAATTGTTTGCAAGTTTCTAAAGGCTTTTGAGAAGACTGTATTATATAATAATTTAAACACATTCTTGAAAAGCTCTTCCATCATGATAAATAATATTTTTAGAAAGTTTACTTCAGCGGGGCGAAGTTGAGCTTAAAAGAAGTTATTGAGAGCTGGTGGTCATTACCACCAGCTCTCAATAACATCTTTTAAGCTCTTGTGTATTTTAAGCGGGAGGTTTCACAAAGAATAAGTCTTCATTTTAGGTGACGAAGCATTTCATGAGTTGTATAAATGTTGGGAACTTGCTTCTGGTCACAATTTTATCGCTTTTTGGAGTGGTGCAGGTATTACTGATGATGAAGTCCTCAAACTCATCCCACATATCAAACCGTCACAGGTTTTGTAACATTTTTGAAGTGATATTTAGTGATAAATTGTTAGTTTTACCTAGTAGTTCCGACTATTTGTAGTACAACGCCGAAACAGTGAGTACTTTTTCGGATCATGAGACAAATTTGTGTTAAAGAAGTCGTTGGTGGGAATCTAAAATCCTGTGTGTTTTTGTCGTAGAGGGTAATTTTGAAATTTTAAGGTGTCAGAGGACGAAATTAACATATTTTGTGGTTTGGACACAGAATTTCAGCCCCGAAACGTTGTAACTTGGAGGGTTCAGCAGGTGCTCTCAATTATGAGGAATCTTTCTTTTGAAGTTATAAATAAAGCGGTGTTAGCATCTAGTTGGCCGTTACTTAAGTAAGTTTGACTATTAAGGTATTGTCAGGACTTTTTAGTGTGGTGTGTGATTGTGCATAATAGGTTTATAATATCTTATTTTATTGTTCTTTACAGATTTCTTTTTATTTGTTCGAACTGTAAGTGGAGCTTGTTGAGAACTGCAGCGTTGGACGCACTCAGCAATATTTCATGTGAAGTAAGTTAATAATTACGTTTATTCTGTAGTTGTTTTGCGTTCTTACATTTATATGGCCGTCTAAAAATTTTGGAATCACCAGATTTTGTAATATTTTATTTCCAAATCGTTGCACTTTTACGTATGAATATTGATATGTTTAGATTGATCTTTTGGGAGAGGAGTCATCTGCAGCCAACCATTTATTACTGAAAACAGTTTCAAGATGCCTTTATTCAGATGACAAACTTCAAGTACTCATTTCGAAGTTTTTTTGTGATAAATTCTGCAAATGTTCAGTCTTTGTTCTCCAGGAAAAGTTCTGTAGATTAATTGTGATGAGAGTCTTTGCTTGCTTTCAGTTACTGCAAAATCCGTAATATATTTATGTAGCAATGCAGTTAAATGATCAGAACTTGTAGTTGTGATATTTTCATCGTCTTGACAAAGACAAATGTAATCACGATTTGGACAACTAATAACAATAAAAGTTAAATAAATTGAAGGTGATGCGGGCTCTCGAAATCATATCAGGATTGTGCAATAACGAGCGTAATGAATCTGTCATTTGTGAATTTCTCGATTATCGAATATTGTCAAAGATATTTACCGTGATTTGTGTCAAGGATATAATGATTTGTGTTTATACTCTGGAATCTCTTTACCAGGCATGTTCTTGTTTCCATAAATCTAATTCTGTTTATATTTATATCCGTCGCGTTTCTTAGTTAGCCGAAATAAAAATACATTTTTGCAGATCTCTGAATTGGGAGCAGTAGCTTGCTACCATTTATCTCGTTTTCCTCATGCAATTGATACATTAGTATCTCTAGCTACAGTTGAGGCGGTATCTTTTGGTCCTTCGGGCTTAATAGGCATGAAAGTCGTAGAGTTCCATGGCTCCTCGCAGTCCGTTATTCCACATCAAAACACACTTCCTCAAACTCAGGTGCTTCCATACAGCGTTTTTGATTCATAATTCTAAGTTTCACTCATAAACAATCCGTTGTATCCTTAAATTAGACTTTTTGATTATTTTAGGCACTTAAACCAGGTCCGTTTGTTACACCCACACATTCCACAACTTGCTCGCCGCGATCTATGGTTTCACGTCATATTCCCTCTTCAACATCAGTTATTGGTGATTCAAAAGTCAGCATAATATTTGTATTATATTGTTTGTGTTATATATATATATATGTATATATATACATATATACATATATATA